GACCTGCAGAGCTTCTGAATCAGCCCAATCCACTGGCGATGGCCTGCGCTGTGGCTGAGTCCCTGGGCTCAGGGAGGCTGCTACCTGGCATGCTTGCTTTTCTGAAGCTGGATGTAGGAGGTCCCCAGCTATGTATGTGACTCTCTTAGTCTCCATCCTTCAGATTGGAACACGTGCTCAGCACCCCCAGGTCTAAAGGCCTTCTGCCCTGCACCTGTCTGCCCGTCTCAGAGGTGATGATGGCCGTGTCCCCAGGGCTGTGTGGGAGGTGTTCAGAAGCACATGTCAAGACCCGTGCAACATTATCTCACGTGATCCAAGCAGCACGGTAGTGGGTGGAGGTTTCTGGAAAGAGGGCGAGGGTCAGGCTGGTCCCATGGCTGCTAAGTGGCAGAGCTGGGACTCAAACTCAGACCTGCTGATTCCTTTCGGTCCCCGAGTCTCCCTGCTTCCACCCATGGGTGGCCCTTGTTCGGTGCTTTATCTTCCTCTGTTGTCTGGCCCCCCAAACACAAGGTCGTGGAGTCGTGGTCCCCCCAGATTGTGCTGCTCATTTCCCATTGGGGTGCCCTTATCTCCAGGAATCCTGGCATCTCTGCCCCGCTCCTCCCAGCAGAGTAGCAGACACCTGGTGTTGGAGGGTGGGCCCTGGGAGGGAGGTGATCTCAAAGGGGGCAGAGAGGTGCTGGGAGGCCTGCTGTGGGGGAACACCCCGTTGACAGTGCTGGTTTGGTTTTTGTGTGAGACAGCCTCATCCGGGGGGCTGATCATAGCATCAGAGCCAGACAGCTGAAGAAGGACCCAGATCTGCTACTAAAAACAGGCTCACAAGCCTCGGCCTCCTAATCTGTGAATTTTGGGTAGTGAGACAGTCCAGCAGGATTTCTGCAAGCAGTGGAGATGACCCGTGGTCAGTGAGAGCAAGCCTTTGTGTAGCGCTCTCAAGCGGAGGGGAAGTGTTGGTGGGCGATTCAGATCTCTTACCCTGGGCTGTCCAGGGGACCTTTGTCTTTCTGAGGCCATGTTCTGGGCTCCACCTTTGTCTTTCTGAGGCCATGTTCTGGGCTCCAGCTGTGGGCTGTGTTGGGGTGACATAGAATTCAGAGCAGGTGCAACGTGCTGGTCCCCTGGTTCTCGGCTACCCCTGGCTGTGGCTCCGTCTTCTAAGAAGGGGCACAAGCAGTCTGTATTCCCCTCTTGATTTTCCTACCCGCCTTCACTCTTCCAGGCAGATAAAGAGGTCTGGGCCATTGCTTTTTCGCCTTTGAGGAGATCTGAGCAGGAGAGAGGGTTCTAGAAGTTCGAGAGGGTTCTAGGAGATACACCCCATGGCAACAAGGGCTTTGTCTAGAATGGTCACTACGGGACCCCAGCAGCTAAAAGAGGTGTGCCTCACATCTTTGTCAAGTAAATTTTAAGCCTCTGAGACTGGCAGGCCTGTGGCAGCGGGGCTCAGCTTGGGCACTGAGGAGCTTTGGACCAGGTGGTCTCCATCGCCAGGGCTTTGTGTCCTGTGCTGTGGGTGGGGGTCAACAGCAGCCCTGGCACGCCCTCCACCGTGCAACCAAGCAGTCTGCAGAGATGGCCAAAGATCCCTGGGGCGCAGTGTCACCCCTGAGTGCCATCCCTGGGCAGCCAAGCCTGATCAGCAGAAAGAGGGTTTTGATTTGGGTTCTGTTGGAGTCTGGGATTTGTAACATGAATGATCTCTTAAAGATAAGAGAATATCCTGTGTGCGTGTGACACTAGTTAAGACGTCTCTTTCACTGACATCTGTCACAAACCCTGGCTTCTGGGGGTGACAGCTGACTGGTAGAGTGGCCCCAGAGAGAGTGTGGCTGCCTGCCTCAAAGCTGTGGCCCCACCCACAACTAGCACTGCTACCTTAGGAAGCAGACATGGGACCCAGCGCGGCTTCTGGCTCCACTCTGATTCAGCAAGCCCAGGACAGACCAGCCTGCTTACAAGGCGGACGGTTTAGAACTCTCAGATCGCCTGCCCTTTTAAATGGATTCGGTGGCTGTGGCCCAGTTTGGCTTGTGAAAGAAGTCTGAGGCTTGGGCCTGAGATATGAGCATGTTGGTGGTTTCCAGTGACCGTCCGAATCAGACGTGGTGACACAGGACACCAAGCCTCCCGCTGGCCAGCCGAGCCTTGCAGTTCTGACGTCATTGTCCTGGTATTTTGCAACCTGGATATTTATAAAACTTCCCAGCATCTGGAAGGAACCTTTAAGATCATGAGTTCAGCCTCTTCCAGGAAGAAGTTAGGAAACTGAGTTTCTGCGGAACCTGACAGATCTTGTTCGCCCCAGGCTTCTGCACTGAGGATGTTCATCTGTCCACATGAGACAGGCCTTCAGTGTGATCCTGTTGCCTTATCTGAGGATTCTCCCAGCCCTTCTTTGTTGGGAAGACTCTGTTAGTATTGTTTCCTCCAAGAAAATCATATGGACACAATCTGGTATTTAAAAAGGGATTCAGAAAAACTAGAGGCCTTCCTGAGACCATGCCAAAAATCCACTGCAAAACACCTAGAAAGTGTAAGTGTTGGGCTGGGGCCAAGTTCAGTGTTGACACGTGGTCAGCACACGCAAGACCCTGCTTCTGTCCTCAGCACAAAACCCCAGTGTCTCTGCGACTGGATGGGCCAGCTTAGCAGCCTGGGATGGGAGCAGAAAATCCACAGGTGACCTGCATTCAGATCCAGCTTGTGTGCCCTGGGGCGAGCTACGAAGTCCTCTAACCCCAGCTGGCTCATCCGCACAGAGGTCATAAGTAACACTGACCACTGCATGAGCAGAATCGCCCGGGGTTCAGCGCTGAGTCGAGGTCAGATGCTTAGCACAGTGTCAAGGACTTGGCACTACAGGGCTGGGGTGCACCTAGCACCATGGTAGTGTGCTGGCCTGGCACGCACACGCCCTGCGTTAGAGTCTCAGCCATATTTAAAAAAAAAAAAAAAAAAGAAGAAGAAAAGAACTTAGCGCATACATATTAGCGGGTGACACTGTTCTGTTACTAAGCCTGGAAAGGGCTTTTATTCCACAGGTCTTTCCTGGGATCTGGAAACTTCATATCTTCACAAACAGTACAACTGAGCAAACCTAATGCCCTGGAGTAATTTTCCCCTGCGCTGGACTAGGAGGAAAAGACCAGACTGGAGACAGAGCCACTTGGGAAGAGGTTCATTGATGATCTTTTAAGTTAAATGATAATATCCTCATATAGTATTTGCTGAAAGTGACACAATCCTGTATGAAGTATAACTTAAAAGTCGGTGAAAATTTGAACTACATCATGTCCAAAATGAAAAAAATGCAGAATATAATCCAGTCCTTTAGGTCTAACTCCTTCCCCCGTGTACAGCTAGGGAAAGAGTCCTGTGTGCATCCTGTTGTATGCTTTGGGGGACCCAGGAATATATGGGTTTTTTTGGGGGGGGTTCATATTTGCTGGAACAGTCCAGCCAGACTTTTAAAAGTAAGAAAACTAGTATTGAAATAAATACCAAGAGATTTCCTGTCATAGCAGTAGAGTTTTCATGGAGCACTCTATTCAGAAGGAATGAGTATGATTTTCATTTTCTTCCCCATAATCTTTCATAATATAAACCAAGAAAGCTAAAAATTCCCGTTGAATCGCCAAGTGTTATCTACCCAGCTCGGTGCCTCAGCAACCACAAGCCCATCGCATCCGCAGCTGCTGAATTTCATCTGGGGCCCGAATCAGTAGTGAGGGGGGCTGGCACCCGGCTCTTTGCCACCGTGGGATGGTTGTCTTAGACGTTAGCTCTGGGAAAAACACAATCGTGATGGTGATAGTGGAGTTGCTTTTTAAAAACGAAATCAGGCAAATATAATCACAACCAGAAGAGAGTATTGTAACCCAGTGCCCCAGCGCCTTAGGGATATGTCTCCAGACCCAAGCCCTGTGAGGTCCCTTGTGCCCCACTGGCCCATTAGGGTCCTTATTTCTGACCTCCAGACAGTAGTCCCCACTTCCAGGCATGAGTCTCTGTAGCCTGCCACGCCACCCCTCCCCGGGGTGCCCCTTGCCATCACCTCTGCCTCTGAGCAAACGTGTGTGCTGTGCGCATCTCCAGCGAGCAGTGGTCAACCAGTGTCCATAAGGCGCGGCCTGCGGGGGTTCTGGGAGATGTGTCCCTGGGCCGGTGCTGGTTCCTCGTGCAGAGGTGTAGCTCTGGAGGAGCATGGAGTGGGGGATGAATTCTGACCCCCGGATTGGCCCCTAGCTCTAGCATGAATGCTGGGAGCCACAGCGGGGCCAGGAATGGAGAGCCTGAGCATCTAAGGATCCCTGCGATCACCTGGCCACACCCCCAGTCCCGGGAAGTGGTGCCTGGTGGAGCCCTTCCCATCCCCTGGGTGTGCTGGTGACTAAATGTGTAGAATGTTGCCATCTGGTGGAGCATAGAGCACAGACCACGGCCCGGCACAGCCTGCTGCAGAACTAGCTGCGTCCCTCCTGAAGGCAGGCGTCGGAACCTGCCAACTCAGGTGACTCAGGAGAGTGGGCGTTTAGTGATAGGCCCTTAGAGCAGCGTGGCCCTTCGGTTTCCCAAGGGTGTATGGTGTGACCACAGGTCTGCAGACGCCCGCAGGGGACAGCCCTCCAGCTCCTGTGTCTCTGCTGTAGTGGGCAGTGTCTCCTCTAAAGCCCTGGGCAAAACGCTGGGTGTTGCTGGGTTGTTTTAGTGTATTTTACAAACACGGCTCTTCCCAGTGCCTTTCTTCTTCCTGTTCCTTGTTCTCCCTTTTCAATTTCCTCTGAATGAAAATGCTCATTTTTAGGAGAAGCAAACCCGGGTCTTCACAAACAAGAAATTCATGGTTTTCATTCTAATGAGCACCCCTTGAGTGTCTGAATCTGTGGTCTTAGACCCGACTTATATTAAGAGCTGCGGAGGTTGTTTTGGACTCTCGGGCGAACGCTGACTGGTCTCTTTGCCTCTCTGTTCCTCTGTTGGCGACTGCCTAGGTCTCTCCCTGGTGCCACGGCCGCCGAGTGCGCCTCAAATCTGAAGAAAATCTACACAGTGCCAACAGTGCAGGTAAGAGCCAGAGAGGGGTGTGCTGGGGACCGTGGACAAGTGCTGTGACACTGTAGTGCCAGCGGCAGCCCCCGCCCCAGGCTGTGTGAGGAGCGTGTGAGTCGAGCATCAGGGCCAGGTGTGGCTGCCGTAGGGCACCTGCCTACAGGCACGAGGCCTGGGTTCCAGCCCAGCTCCACAGGACGGGAAAGAAGATAGGGCTGGTGCCACTCTTGGCAGAACATCGAAGACACCGCAGGTGCCCGCAGCCGTGTGGTGCCATCAGTTCTCAGTCCAGTTCTGAAGGCCAGTGTTTTCTAAAGCCTAGTTATTTAGTGGGTCTCGTTTCTGGTTTCTTTACAAGCAGATCCTACCAGGTTCCCTCCTTCCCTGCTGTTGCTGCTCCTGCTGGGGCAGAATGAGTCTCTGCAGCCGGCTTCAGGCTGTGCTGACCAGTGTCCTGGGTGTGGCTTTAGGCTGTGCTGACCAGTGTCCTGGGGGTTTAGAAGGCCCGGCTTCAGGCTGTGCTGACCAGTGTCCTGGGTGTTCAGAAGACCCGGGTGATAAAGAGCTTTCCTGCTGTAACCCTTCATCTCACCGTGTCTCAGAAACCCCAGCGGGTGGGTGTCTGGGTTGTTTCCCTCAGTCACTTTCCCGTGGCCACCGAGGGCTGGTGGAAGGACAGTCCCTGCCTCTGGCCATTTCTTCTCTAGTTAGGAAAGTGACATCAGCACATGGAAAGCAAAGGGAAGGGAGAGTGCCACTGTAAACAGTCGCCAGGTGCCAGGGACGGGCAGCATCATGGGCAGCACGGCCCCTCTAGAGAAAGGAACGCCCTCGTGGTCTGGGAGGACCCCCTCCCGCTGCCCCTTCTCTGGGTCTGCAGACATCGCCACCTGTCCCCAGCCACTCTGTGAGCCTCAGAGCACCCGCCTTTGAGGCCCGTCCTCCCCTGCAGCTCCTAGGTACTGTGGCTTTCCTCCCCGTCACGATGTCAGAGTGGTCAGGACTCCAGGGCAGTGTTGGTTCAGGCAGCAAGGAGTGGGATCACAGGGCGCTGTGCTGTGTCTGCCCTCACCCAGTAAACACCGAGGGATGGAAGGGGTGAACGAGAGCATCACAAATGAACCGCTTTCCGGGGCCACAACAGGTCGTCCCCATGAACATCTCTCCATCTGCCAGGCATGGTGGCACATGCCTGTAATCCCTGCAGTCTGGGAGGCTGAGGTAGGAGGATCACATGTTTGAGGCCAGCTTCAGCAATTTAGCAAGGCCCTAAGCAACTTAGCAAGACCCTGTTTCTAAATAAAAAATAAATTAAAAAGGGCCAGGGATGGATGTGGCTCAGTGGGTTAAACACTCCTTGATTCAATCTCCAATACCACAAAACAACAACAACAACAACAACAAAAAACACACCGCTGTCTAGGGCCATACTCTCTCGATGGAGGCCAATATTGGTTCTTGGAAGTTTGGGGAACAAGCCTGACACTGTGGCATAAAACATGGACAGGCCTTGTGCGTTCTGTGGAGAGAGGTTCAGTCTTTCTGTGGCTTTGACACTCCGTCAGGATGGTAAGGAAAAGGGCTTCCTCAGGGCAGTGGGGGGGTCCACCGTGAAGGGAGAGGCTGGGCAGCACTGCGCTTCCTGTGCAGGGAGCTCCTTCCTGAGTCCGAGGTTGCTGTCTGCCTCAGTTTCCCCATCTGTACAGTGAGGTGTCAGCAGGGCCTGTGCCTACACACCCAGGTTGGGGGAGGGCCAGATGGGACCAGGCAGGTACTTTGCAGGGCGTGGCCCTCAGGAAGGTCGTGGCCCTCAGGAAGGTCGTGGCCCGGAAGGTCGTGTCTTGCCAGCTTTTACTCAAGGGCTCCTGACTCCGTCCTCTGCTTCAGTGGTTGACTGACTCATGGGGTGGGCTGGGCACAGGGTGGTCATGCTGCCCGGATTCCTGTGCCCCACCTGGCACCCTGCAGCTTGGACGAGGGACTTGGCCTCTCTGTAACCCTTTACTCATCTACAGAAGAGAAAAACCACGATAGTGACTCTGCCTGCTGTTGGCAGAGTTCCACGGGCTGTGGGTCAGGCACACGGGAAGTGTCCCAAGGACCATGGAAAGCCCCTCTGCCGTCATTTGTGTCCCCTATTGTGACAGAGTCCTTGCAGCAGCCTGACCCTGGGGACTTAGCAACCAGCTGCTGCCACCCACCCCCAGGAGAGTCCAGTTAGCAGAGAGGGTGGCCAAGCAGGAAGCACCCTATTTCAGTGTGGCCCTGCTAGGGCGACAGCTGGTCTAGCGCCCTCCTAAGGAACCTGTCGCCCCGTTCTGGCCACAGCTCCAGGACCATACAGGGAAGGACAGTCGTGGAGAGCCGAGAGGGCTGATGGGCAGCAGTGTGGCTCAGCCTGGCTTGGTTTGGCCAGCCTGTGTCCGGCTGGTGCCCAAGCAAGGGGTCAGTTTCTGCTCCCAGCATGGGACGCTGGCCTGCAGGAAGGCAGAAGGACAAACCAGAGCAAGAACAGGTCACAGTCACAGCGGAGGCAGTCTGCACCATGGCCAGGTCTTCCTTGTTATCCCCCGAGTGCTCCAGTCCCCGTCCCGTGCTGGGGCATCTTCTCCTTCCCCAACCATGCTTTACGTAGGAGAAGCCTGTGCCGCTGTGTCCGGTGGTCCCTTTCGGGCCACGGTGCCCTGGATTGCACATCTGACTTACCCATAGATCAGGGAGGTCAGCCCCGAGTGTCCTTAACCTCCCGGGAGTGGTTGCTGGTGCTTAGGAGCCAGGCAAGTGCTGACCTGAGAGTCACCTGCAGATCCACTTCTTGCCTTCTGTGACCATGTGTCAACGCTTTAATTCTGTGGGCACTGACCGTCTGCCTGCCTCATCAGGTCTGATCCCTGTATGTGTGCACCTCATTACGTTAAGAAGCACCTGTTAATGAGCGCTTCACATCAAGATGCGATCCATCCTTCTGTTCTCTGAGGCCCTTGTGCAAACCCAAGTTCAAGGGGTGAGGGAGGAATTCTCATGCCTATTTATCATGGCGGAGACCGAGGATGGGAAGTCAGTGGCCCAAATGTCCAAAGGGAGCAGCCGGTCACACTGTGCCCATGGGGCCAGACTCCTCCTCCCCAGCTCAGTTCTCTTTCACTCCCCTGACCGAGCGGTGACCTCAGAGGACCCCCTGACACCTCACTGCAGCCAGCAGCTTCCGTCCACCTGGAGTTGAATTTATTTCCCTTCTCCATCTTGGGAAAGCTCCATGTTCTGCGCAGGGTGTTTTCTGGTGCTGATTCCATCTCCAGCTTCTCCGGTGGCTTCTGTGTCCTTGGTGAGTGCAGCACGGAGCCAAATGTGACTTCCAAGCATGCCCAGGCTTCCGTGTGGCACAATGCAGAGTGTCCTGCTGGGTGAGACTGGCAGGGGAGGACTCCCTCGTCCCCAGGGTCTTTCAGCGTTGCCTGTCACAAGACTGAGAAGTCCACCCTGAAAGCACTGTGGCAACCTCAGCCGTTTGCTGGGTCACCTCCAAGACCAGCCACACCTGTCCCATGTGCCTATGTGCTACCCGGTATTCCTCCCAAATGGACTCTTAACTTAAATTGACATAGAATAGAAACTTCTATTTCTTCCATTAATAGAATCTCAGCATCATTTATCATCACCAGAAAGTCTTCCTAAACAACCTGTGCAGCCTGTTAACACGGGAGGGCAAACTCGTCCTGTGCGCGGCCGGTGACATCCAGACTTCCTCTCCTCTGGGAGGTCCAGCCGCCTGACTGAGGAGTTGGTCTGTGGAAGGCCGTCGGGTTAGGGCCTCAGAGGCTCTCCCTGAGCTGCAGGCTGGTTGCTAACAGAGGGTTCTCAGGCAGCGGCTGCTTCCTGCCTCCTCATGTGGACAAGGACGCACTCCCTGCCTTCAGAAGCCCACACCTGCCCTCACAGCAGTTCCTGTGTCCTAAGAATTGGGGGAGGGTGCAGATAGGTAGCCCATAGAGGGGACAGCATGCGCCAGTTCCTCTCCTTCACACCTCCAAGCCCAGGCACCATGGTCTCCTCCCCAAGACCCATTATAAGGAAACGTGATCCGATAGGAGGGTGCGTACCTTGGACTGCGTCAGGAGAGGTTCCTCTGTCAGGGCAGTGTCTGTGTGAGGGTCCACTGTCATGGCCATCTACGTTGACCTACTCCCCAGGCCTCCCATGGGAAGACCACCATCAAGGTCCCCTCCCCTCGGTGTGTCTTGCTCAGGTTACGACAAAGTCATTTAGTTGACAACAGAATACCAGTGACCATAAAGCTGTAACTGATGTGGATCCTTCTGTGTGAAAAAAGTCATATTCCAATATATAATAAAACCCACGTGAATGTAGTCAAACACGCTCATGTGATTTTTCAAGTTGAGTCTTCAGAAGTATAAAAAGATCTAATTGCCGTAACAATGCAAGTTAACTGGACAAACTTAGTTAAACATTTATGCACTAGGGGGAAAACATTTTTTTCACAGTGTCAGTTGATAATTTCTTTTTCATAAAACATTTCTTTTGTGTGTGTTTCAGGTTTATGACTTTATGGAGTAGGACTCACAGAGGTAGTGCAGTGGTTACTGTCTACCGCACAGGTGCATTTTTTTTGTCCCAAGTGCAGACAGAATCCACTTACTGAGGGAAAACCCCAGGTACAGCCTGGTAGCTTCAGCCCTGTTGTGGTGTTGCCTTCCTAGATTCCTGTGTGGACAAGTTGCCTGGAATGCTCACTAATAACACGGCTTCCTGACAGACAGCCCGGGCCCCGCGTTGGCAAGGAACACGCTTTAAAGTCATATTACATTCTCTAGCAGCAATTCAGAAGGGATACTGAGCAAAATGTATTTCAAAAGGATAGGATTTAACGTGACTCGGCTTGGTAAATCGTTACTGGGTCTGTTAAACAAATCATCTTCTCTCTTAAAGATATTCTGGAGTGTGTACAATAACATACCCCCTGTGACCAGCCTGCCTTTGAGATGTAGTTACCACTTAATGAGAGGAGAGAGGCGACCGCTTTGGTAAGTGTCTAACCTGTGACTTGAGGTCACAGTGGGAGGGAGATGGCTGGGGACTTTGGGAGAGATCTTTTCACCTGCGTGTCTTTCATGTGGACCCCGAGCAAGCCTGTGATTCTGGCTGTGGCCCAGGGTCTTAATAGCTTAGTGCCTGGGCCAGAGGGTTGGACACTGAGTTTGCCCAGGTCAGAGTCTCAATTAGCAGCAAGTCCTGCCTCAGACCTTCATCCGGTCTGCTATGCTCTCACTATTCACAGGAAAATGATTCTTGGCTCACTTGGTAGCAAACACAGAAACCTAAATGGAGTCCCAAGTGGATTTTTCTGGAGCCCCTAATCCAGTCCCCTGGTCAGGGTCATCCCATGGGTTCAGATCCGGGTCTGCAGCTGTTACCAGCCCTCGATGCTCTCCCGGGAGCTTTCCTGGTTGGGTGGGTTTCAGGTGGCCTCCTATTTGTGGTGACAAATGGCCTTCGCAGGTACCCCACAAACACGACTTGGAGTGTAAGCTGGGGCTGTGTGTTCATCCTCCATCCCCCGAGGGTCCAGGCAGCCTCAGCACCACCTCCTTGAGATTAGGGACCCTGTTCTGACACGCTGCCTGCCCTGGCCTCTGCTTTCTGCCCTCTGTACCCCACCCCTTGCAGTTCAAGGACGGGGGAGCTTACCCAGGACGGCCGTGGGCTCTGCTTTTGAGGTCATCAGTTGTTCAGGCCTTGCAGGCAGCAGTGCCCATTCTCAGCCAGGCTGAACTGTGTGCCATTGGGTGTAACTGTGGATGTTGCTCTTTGATCCAGGGAAGAGGACAGTAATGCCAAGGGCGGCGTCTGGAAGATGAAAGTCCCCAAGGACAGCACGGTAGGTTGGTTCCGTCACTTCCCAGAGCGGGTGCACTTGGAGTTGCCGGGGCTGCGTGCTGGGGTGATTTGGGCTTTTCAGAAGCCGGCCCGTGGGTCTCCCAACAGGCTCAGGGTGAGAGATTCCTCTCTGACCCGGGCGATGTTCCTCTTTATACTGTCACCTTCAAGTGTATCGCTGTGCCCTGTGTGGACATGGTGTGGGGGCAGCGCCCACTCACATTGCAGACAGCCGACGGTCTCTGCTGCAGTCCTTCCTCGCCAGCCCAACTGACACGGAGAAGTTGGTTTTCCTCAGAGGGACGCAGGATCCCTCTCTCCAAGACTCCTCAACCCTGGACTGGCAAAGTGCCCCCAAGAGTGACCACGGGTGCAGGACAGGCTGTGCATCATGACCTTCTCTGGGTCTGGGGAGGCTGTTCCTGGCCTCTCCCAGAGGCCTGGCAGGAGGCTGGTTTGCAGAAGCCACACCTCAGGAGCCTGGATTTTCCGGGCGTGGGAGTGGGCTCCAGGTCCTCGATTGTCTGAAAATAAACATGGGCATTAAAAGTGTCTGTCTTCAGCCCCAGGAAAGCACAGAGCTTCACCAAAATTGACAAAGAGAAAGAGCTGCCCAGCCTCACCTTTAATGGAGAAGCTCCAAGATTGAAATGTCGCTGGGAATCCTATGTCTGAGCTGGAGCAAGTTCCCGTAAACACAGACTTAACAATAGGACCGGATTCACCTGTCGGGGTACCAACCATCACCCGGGTGTGCACCTCCAAGACGCGTTACTAGGCGTACTTGACAAAAATATCAGAGGGACAAAGGACGCACTGGGCCAGGCCTACGAGCCCCCTACCACCTCACAGAGACTGCGGAAAATGAAAGGAAGGGCGGAATCGTAGGTTTTGTTCTTAGGTTTCACAGAGAATTCTGTTTGTCTTTCTGGGTTGTTGACGCACTAGACCTTGAATTCTGGAGGAAGCAGCCCTGCTGTCCAGGTCCATTGTCTTTGTTAGCCCCTGGGCCACACTTGGTCCCAGGGAACCTTTCCTATGCCTGGAGCCCAAACAACTGGACTTGCTGGGCCTTGCTGCCCAGTGGAAGTCTGGTGGACTCGGTCGCCCTCAAGCTGAATAGGAGTGGGAATTCCCCTGCCCTGGACATCTCCACCCACCCTGGACATCTCCACCCACCCCGGCCTCGTCCCCAACACAGCACAGGGCCAGAGTTGCACAGGTAAAAGGTGGAAGGGAGGACTTCCAGAGGGAAGACCAGTAGATGAGGAGGGACGGTCTAGGGGAGAGGGGAAACCTCCTTGAGGGTGGGGGGCCACCTTTCAGCTCCCGGGTGAAGGGCGGTTGCTTGGTTAAAGGGCGCGCTGCCGTCAGCTCCCAGGAAGCACCAAACACCCGCCATCGTGCTGAGTTACTGTGTCTCCAGTGCCTGGCCCAGGGTGCACCTGCAGCTGTTGATGGGACCATCTTGAAGGTGGCGCTGTGTCCTTGCAATCGCGGTGCTCGGCCATTGGATATTTTCACTAATGGAGGCCACTGTCTCAATCCCAAGAGGTCAGCCCCATCGTTACTGCTCTGTTCAGCCATGGAGACGGATGCTCAGTCCCTTAACCTGCCCATCAGCCTCCGAGGATCCAGGAGGGGAGACTACAGAGTGCTAAGTTATGGCCAGACAAAGGGGACCAACTTCTCAAGTGGGGGAAGGAAGAGGGCTGGTGGTCCTCTAGGACGTTAGATTTAACGTGGACGTTACACGGTGTCAGTGGATGTGGGCTGGCCGAGCTCCAGCATTTCCCACGGCCAGGAGGCAGACAGGGCGTGGACGAGTCCTTCCAGGGAAATCGCACAGTCACACGTAAACCTGCCACTCAGAGAATGGAACTGTGGGAGTCCCTAGGATCCAGCGAACTTGAACTCCCTTCAGCGTTCTTTCCTGGGGTGACCTTTGAAGTGCTTCATCAGATGCAAGGAAGAAAGGGAAGGATTTTACCCGTAGCTCTCAAATACAATCATCTCAAGTCAGGAAGAGGTAAAGAAACCAGAAAATGACCGTTGTTGGAGTGCCTCCTGCCCCTGCCCTTCTCCCAGCCTCACCAGGGACGCGCCAGCTGCTGGCTGGCCTGACTCTGATCACTCGTGTCTATCTGGGGAGCGCTGATTGTGAACCGGTATACCACGTGCCCACGGTAGGTGTTTACCCCGCCGTCTGCGGGCTGTAGGTGTGGCCACGTGCAGTGTGGGTGAGGAGGGACTGGGACTTGCTCACCTACTGAGCACAGTCGTCTGAAACTGTGTTTTGTCTTTTTATTATGCTCCCACTTCAGTCCACGGTTTGGAAAGAGCTCCTGTTGGCCACCATCGGGGAACAGTTCACCGGCTGTGCAGCGGCAGGTAAGGGAGTGGCCACTCTGTCCTCCTCGCCGTCAGGCTCTGTCCCGCTGGCCGCCTGCACAAGGCTGTCCGTATGGTACTATTGCTGCATGTTTGGAAGGGGACAACTGGGGAACCGTGAAGTTATTGGCATTTTTTTTTTCATGTGACCACAGGGTTCGGTCTTAGGTATGGATGTCTGTGTGCATGGGCGTATTGCCATATGTAAACAGTCATCCAGGGGTTCTGACCCACAGATTCAATCAGTCACGGATCAGAAATATGGGAAAAGATAAACCGAGCCTGGATGGAACACACACTTTGTTTTTTCCTTGTACTCTTGAAACGGTACAGTGTAACTATTTGCATAGCATTGATGTTGGTATGTAACACAAACGTAAGTCGCTGTGTAGTATCAGGGCCCTCGAGAGGATTTAAGGTACAAGGGGCTTATATGCAAATGCTGTGCTATTTATATGAGGGAATTGAGCATCCATGGATTTTAGTATGGGGGTCCTAAAATCATTCCCTGCAGATACCAAGGAGTATATGTAGACACGCAGGTGTGTGTGCACGCACACAGCACAAGCCTATAAATATTTCCATACATAACTCAGCTTCACAGTATCCACCACCATCTGTCCAAAATAAATACGCAGAAAGAAAAGACCCCTTGTCATCCAAGGGCCCTGGATGAGGTGGTCTTTGTCTTCCCTGTCTCCTTGGTGTCTTCTGGAAGGGGAAGGTGCGTGGGTGTCCAGTAGGGTTTGTAGGGAGGCAGGGACCCTCCGTCCTGCTCAGTCCCTGCCCCTTCCTCTCATCCTTCCTGGCCTTTGCTCAGAGAGGACATTCACAGGGGCCGGGATGCGCCCACTGCCATACCCCAGGGGTCCACACGGGGGCCCCGTGAGCACCCTTCTCCTTTTTGTGCTGGGGATGGAACCCGGGGCCTCCTGCAGGCTGAGGTCGAGCTCCTCCCCTGACCGGGCGCCCGCCCCCCTCGGCCAGCACTTCAGTTTTGCTCTGCGTCCATGAGGAATCCCCACAGAGGACCCGTAGCTGCCTGGTAGAGTTCTGTTGGACCTTTTTCTGAAGGCTTGGGAGGTAGGCCTTAGCATAACAGCTTCTCTGATCCGCCTGAATTCACTTAGGCCTTCAGCTGACTCTTATTTACCATCGCTCTGACTATTCCTTGCTGAAAGGCTTCCACAGTGGCCCTCTGGGGAGCTTTCAGTGCACACCACGAGGGCCCCCCGCCCCGGCACATCTCCACCCCTCTCCCCGGCAATCTCAGATATTTCCACTTTGGTTTTGTTTACTTCTTCCACTACTTGTTATCCATGTGAGGCAAAGCTTAGGTGAAGGTAAAAGTGTCTTAAAAGTCGTGATTCCTTCTGGGTCTGCAGGAAGATTAGCTACTTTACCCTGGGCCTCCTGTGCATGACCTTGAGCACGTGGAGCCCTGGGAGAGGGAGTTTGTGCAGGAATTGCTCCCATTTCCAGAACCAGGGAGAAGTGTAAGTAATACATGCCCAGCACTGAGTGAGGAGTCCTTCTGGGCCACGTCTGTCACCTTGGAGCGGTGGCTCCTCCTGGCTGTGCTGTCTTGTGCTGCTGGATGATTCCGTGTATGGACAGGGCTTCTTGGCTGGTGGGCCTGTGTGGGCTGGGCTGTTTGACCACGCTCTGGAATGGCCAGTGCTCTTAGCTACCAGGTTACTAGAGCCGAGCCCAGCCCAAACCCAGACAGTTCAGCCTGTTGGCACCCACCTGGTACCTCTCCTGCCGACCAGTGGTGTAGAAAAGGCCGTCCTGAAGCCGGGATGCACAGATTTCCCCAGAAGGCTGGTCTAGAGGCCTCTTGGCCTCTCCTGATGGTGGAAGGCCTCCCAGCCTCCCTCTTCCTTTGATAATTCTGTTTTTATGTGAAATGTATCATTGAGCTCTAGCAACTCTATATTTAAATGAGAACCATATCTGAGGTTGGCCTCCACAGGAGGCAGGGTGGGGTTTTGTGTGTGTTTTCACTTTTGTCTAAATGCAATGCACATACAAGGCCCACACTTCCTAGAGCCTGGTAGATGTTCACGGAGTACATACGTCCCGGTCACTAGCACACAGGCCAAGGAGCAGGACATCACCAGCCCCCAGAGCCTCCCCCCACCCTCCCTCCCTTCAGAGGGGCCGCCAGTGCCCCTTCTTACCCTTGGTCCCATCCTGTCCATTCCTGGACATCTCTGTAGGCAGTCAGTGTTGTACACATCTACCAGGTTCCATTGCTTTTACAAAGGAGAGAAGGAAGAGAGGGAGAGGGAGAGAGGAATTGTTTGCTGAAGATGATTTGAGGAAGTTGGACGAGCCCTTATGGAACTCCTTCTCAGATTCCAAGGTGGCCTAGCCTGCACAAGACCACGGAGAGAGGGGGGCGTGAACACGTGGGTCTGCAGCCCATCGAGCCAGGCGCAGCGCGTTTCCAAAGCAGAGCTTCCTCTTGGTGGTGGGGCTCATCTCCCATACATCCCCCACCGATGGCCCTGCCGTGGACAGGAAGGCCAGCAGCGAGGCCTGTGCTGATATCAATTTCCCTGCCCAACAACCTCGGCAAAGCGGCCGTGAGAGCGTGTACCAGTGAATAAGCCTTGCTGTGTGGCCACCATTGGCTGTCCACGAGACAGCCCTGAATCTGGAATCAGATTCATTTAAAAAACAAAGCCAAAAATAAATAATATTTTTTTAAAAAAGCCTCTGCTAATGCGTGCAGGCAGCCTCCATGGCCATGCGCTGAAGGACGGTGCCAGCTGACCCTCAGGGAGTGTCCCTCTGCCTCCCGCACAGCGCTAACAGATGGTCCCTGGTTCTCAGTCCACCCTTCAGTGCAAGCCTAGAGAGCTGGAGGGAGGCACCAGAGGGCGGGAAGGGTTCCCAGGGAAGGAGCAGGCCAGCCTCAGAAAGCAGATGTGCAGCTGGGCACGCAGGGTCCAGGCCCAGTGAGCACTGGGCCAAGGGACCAGCCACCCCAGGCTCTGCGAGAGTGTGGCAAAGGGTCGGGACGTTCTTTCAACCAAGCAAGGCTTTAGGGAAGGGTTCACTCGAGTGCACTTGGCTTTCTGAGGGCAGGGGTTGCGCAACCTGTGCAGAGAAAGCCTCATCGCTGGGTAAGAAATGGAAAGAAAGCTTTGGTGACATGTTTAAAGGGCAAAATGACTTACCTGGAAAATGCGTTTGGCTGGAGCACTTTATGTGAGCCCCCCAGGGGGATGAGACCACTGTGCTGTGCACACCACTGCCTTCCCAGCTGTACCCCATTAAAACAACTCCCCACGAGACCTCCGAGACCCCGCTTTCCCGCCCCACCTGACTTGAAGTGCACAGGTGCTTAAAAGTAATCCCACAGACCTGAAGCCATCTCAGCCCTGTTTCCCCGTCTCCCACAGATGACGAAGTCATAGGAGTAAGTGTCAGCGTGCGGGACCGGGAAGATGTCGTCCAGGTCTGGAATGTAGACGCCTCCCTGGTGGGTGAAGCCACCGTCCTCGAGAAGATCCATGAGCTCCTGCCCCACATCTCCTTTAAGGCCGTATTTTATAAACGTAAGTGCTTCCTTTTTAGTTACTACTTTGCAGCTTATTCAATCAGACTTTCAAACATAGACCATGTGGTAGGCCAGGCACAGGCAGGGCCACTTGAAATCCTGCCACTCAGATGAGGTGACAAAACACACCAAAGGGTTTTTTTGTTTTGTTTTGGTTTGGTTTTTTTTTTTTGTTAAATCAACAAGTTGTCTCCAAAATTAAAATGAGGCTTTATCCTTGCCTAACTGCGGGCCTCCGAGAAGGAAGAATACATTGTGTCTGTGGTTTCAAACATTTAAATCTGAACTTGAATTTGTCCTTCTCAGGAACACACACACAAAAATTAGACTCCATTGGAAACAACAATAACAAAAAAACTGCTATTATATGAGCCAGCAGGTAGATGTTCGATCACCCTTCGTGAGCGGGAGTCTATAATGTATAACGTCTGTGTCTGGGGGGGCCGCTCATCCCGCGCAGGCATGGCTGAACCTACTTCGGGCCTCAGCCTGGCTCAGGACGCGGGCTGGGGTCCAGAGAGGAGCAGGACTCCGTGCACAGTGTGGAATGTTAGCAGTGTGAAGAGCTGTGTGACCCTTGTCTTCATCGTGACCCACGTGCATTGCTTTGTGTGTTCTTTTGAAACAGTCATCTTTTCTTCATAATGAAACCACCCTAAGGCTGCTAAGCCAGCGTTGGGTAGATCGAGCTTCAGGGTACACTTTGAACAGGGAGTCGAAAGAGTGGACAGCCCTACAGATGTGTGATAAATTTCCTACGTCCCAAACTGTCCCCAGAGTCACTAATCCATGTTTGTTTGTTTGTTTTAACTACTGTATTTCATCAAATCTAAGATGCTCTTGATGATAGGAGGTCCCATTTCTTATTATTACTAAGGGGGAAAAAGATTCTCCAATTACACTCTGAGCACAATCTCGATTCCATAGTTCCTCAGGTATGAGGGGGGGCGGGATGGGAGCATCTTAGAATTGCTGAAATACACGTACGTCATAATCATCTCACTTTCCCCAACTCCTTTCCAAAAAAGAATAAAATAGCAGATTTGTTTAGTGTTGGTCTATAGGTAGCTAATATGAAAACTAGGGCCCCGTGTAGGGAATCGTCCGGGCACCTGCAGACAGCTCAGGCTTGGCTTGGGGAGAATGATGGGGCGCTGCAGGTGCTCAGGAGACACCAATCCTTTGAATTTTAAAGGAAAGGTTAAATAAAAGAGACCAGCCACACGCTGTGCAGGTGTCTGCTGGCCATGCAGCGTGGAGAGGCCACATTGGTCGGTGCCGTTTTTATTCTTCAGGGACACATTGATTGCATCTTTACCCCAGATATAAATTTAAAGGCCTCTAAGGCTCTTTTCTGCTCCACAAGACTGACAAGCAGAAACTCAGAAGGGCATGGCTTTGTTGCCACTCACGAAGGGGCCGAGACGTCCCTCAGCATTCTGAGCGGCCCGTGCTGACTCTGAGGACGCGAGCAGCCCAGAGCAGCCCTCCAACGGCACCTTCCCTTTCTTTCTCACCTGGGCATGGAGGAGGTTGGCGGCAGATGATCTGCAAGGTCCCTTCTTCTTCAGAATCCTAAGAACAGGTTTCCCGTAGCCGCAGGCTCAGCATTGGTGTGCGTGTTTCACTAGGCGATCAGGCTACGGGCGCTTAGGCTGGTGGTAGGGCATCGGCCATGACCAGGCAGCAGGAGCAGGGCAGAGGACTCTGCCTGGCACTGTGGTAGCAGGTGGTGGGAGAGAAAAGCCACATGGGAAGGCAGATCCACCTGCCAGCCGATCAAGGTGGGTAAAACCTGACGGTAGGGGCCAAGGTCAAGCCTGTGAGCAACACAGGACTGGCTACAGTCTCAGCAGAACCCACACTGTAATGGCACATAAGAGCACGTAAACCTCGCAAGATTCTCAGAATTTGGAATGGGAAGACGGACAGTGCTACCTTGACTCAGCAGGGCCCTGCCAGGTTTCCCCAAAATCAGGACCCACAGCTCCCAACCTCGGGTAGAAATGGCCAACCGACCTTTATTCTGTGTTGGTCATGGTCTCCTCTGTCAGTGTCCACCAGTGTGTAGAAGCTGGGTAACAGTGGAGCTCACCAGCATGTTCCGTCACAGCCTCTAGGGGTTGGGTGAGGACTGGCCATTGCTGCGTGGTTTCCACACAGATTAATTATTTCAGCAAGAAATTCATGGTGCACAGCGGACACAGTGGTGCACACCTGTAATCTCAGCCATACGAGAGGCTGAGGCAGGAGGATCGCAAGTTCCAGGCCAGCCTCAGCAACTTAGCAAGGCCCTAAGCAACTTAGGGAAACCCTGTCTCAAAAAATAAAAATGGCTGGGGATGTGGCTCAGTGGTTAAGTGTCCCTGGGTTCAATCCTCAGTACCAAAAAAGAAAGAAATGCACAGTGTACAGGTAACACACACACACACACACACACACTCACACACATATATACACACATCCCAGGTGTGACTGAGGGTCCTCCCTGAAGTGAACACTGTTGAAAACAGGGGCAGGCAAACCAGCAATCCGAGCCAGGTCTCTATTTCCCTCTCCTTCCCTCCTCACCTGCTTTTGTACACCTGTGCTCCAGAGGATGGTTTTTTAAATAGCTGGAAGAAAATCAAAAGAAGAACTATATTTTGTGAGACATGAAAATTATATATCAAATTTCAGAGTCTGTAGTCTCATTGGCTTGTGCAAGTGCCCGTTGGTATCCATATTTCCTGTAGCTGTTTTAATGCAACAGGAAGTGCTACTATCAGGAAAAGTTGGCCCCCCCTTGGCTTGGAGAGCAGTTATCCATTCCCCTCCCACCCCATTGCCCTGAGGTTCCCAGAGCACCCTCCGGGGCCCCTCTCCTAGTGCTGTGCAGTTTGGCTTCAGCGGTTATGTGTGCCTTGCCACATTGACGTGAAGGCTAGCCCAGACTGCTCTTCACACCTGGAAGTACTCAGAGTCTCTGGGCTGTCTGTGTCTTTGGCCTTATCATTTGTAGACCAGCCTTGCTCTTGTCTGTGGCTTCTTTGACTCTGCAGCACAGAATATTTCGTGGCAGGCCAAACCAGGCTTCCTTTCATGTCTGCCTTAAAATATCTTCCTTAGAAAGAAAAAAAGCAAGCACAGGGAAATACTTGCAAAGCGATAGCCATAAGAAGCACTAAATTAGGTCAGATTTCAGGCCACTCCCAGGATTTCGACCAACCCCAGGTAACCCTGGGGGCTGTCTGTTGTGTCTCCCTGGTGTTGGCCCAAAGAAGAGAACGTGACGTCTACTGCCCAACAATAGTCTGAAGATGAGTCTGTTTGAAAAACAGGGGGAGGGCTTCAGAAGTAGAGGGGCAGCCCACCTGAGTCTCCCTAGGACCCACTGCAGTGGAGCCAGGGTGGGGACCAAGCACACGGGATCCTGAATCTCCCTGGCTCCATCAGACCCAGCTCCACAGTGATAACTAACCAGGTCCAGAAGCTGGTCCCCAAACGTGGCCCTCGCCTCGGAGGACCTGTTACAATAGGTGTCTCCCTTTCAGTCTTCTGCTTTAAAAGTCTTTGGAAACATTTGTGGTAGCGTGTTTTTTTTTTTTTTATCCTGGAGTTGGCAATTATAATTCCTAATTTTGCTAGCCAGACAGCAGGGGGCTGAGGATCCCTTGGGAGGCTGGGGCAAGAGGGGACAAAAGAAAGACCCAGGAGTTTAGCAGGGAAGCAGAAGAGACTTGACTGGCCTGGCCTGGTTCTTGTTTTCTTTAGCTTTGGTGTGTACTGCATCCTCGGCTGGGCTGGGCTGGTGCATGGTCGGGGACAGCTGGCCTGGCCCTGTGCGTCTTCTGGGTGCCTGCTCCCTGAGGTCTTCGCCTACAGCCCACCGTCTTCCCTCCATCAGCGCTGGGGATGCGTCACCCTTGCAGGCCCAGCAAGAAGAGACAGGCCGCATGCCCACTGCCTGTTGATCCCTTGTTTGAATTTCCATGATTGCGTTTCTCAGGAAGTGCACGCCTTAGCTAACAGTCACTGGCATAAAAGAGAAAAGAAAAAAAAAAGGTGTTTGAGCGCTTGCCAGAATTTGGGGAAGCGGAATGAGATGCCTGGAGGAGGGTTGGCCCATCCTTTGCTTAAAGTTTTCTTTCCTTTTTTTCTTTTTTTGTTTTTTTCTGTCCTTTAGCCCATGAAGAGCATCATGCTTTTGAAGGTGGACGTGGAAAACACTAATTGCACTCTAAAGAATTCTTTGTCCTTTGCTGAGTGGTTTTGGAAACGGTCTTATCAGGAGGGAGAGTGAAGAGAAGACCCTCTGAAGCCCGATGCTGGTCAATTTAGAGTGGGTTTAGGACTCACAGTGGCAACAGCGGCAGGTGGGGTGGGGGAGGTGGGGTGGGTTGCTACCGTCATGTTCCTTGCTTTTTTTTAAGATTTTTTTTTTTTTTTTGATTTTTTAATTCTTTTTTTTTTTCTCTTATTTTTTTTCTTTTTTTTTTTTTTGGCCCTTTAAAATTCCTTCTTGGGGCTAATTGTTGTTTTCTGCACTCCCTGTTCACTCTGAATGGCCCGGCTTCCCCTAGTTAATGAGTCTTTGAAGCCGCGCGCGCGTACCAGCTAGTCTGAGCACTCGCTGGGGGAGCCTGGCTCCGGGTTGGTTGTTGTGACACATCCCTGCAAACCATGAGCTGTGGCCATTGTTTCTTGTGTCCCAGGGAAAAGGAAAACCACACCTAGGCTGATTTTGCCCTGACATCACACACCTCTCTCTCATTTTCTGTTTTAAAACTTTTTTTTTTCCTTAAGCCGTAAAAGGGAAGCAGCAGTCAGAGTTGCCTCACATGAAAACTACAAGCACATTTTAGTATCAGAATAGAAATCAGGCTACAGGTCTCTGGGACCCTCTGTGGAAATACGTCCAACCAGAATTTCAGCTGGGCCTTTCCATGGACGGCTCGGAGCCGCGGCCTGGGATTTCTCCTGGTAGTAAACCTGCTGTTTCCAATTGAAAGAGGAATCGATCATTTTTTCAGTGTTTGAATTGAGCTTCTTCCACTGTTGAGGTGTTTTCCCCCACTGAGGACTTCCCAGATCCCCTCGATCACGTTTTGTTGAAAGAGCCCTGCTCCTCCGATCCGCCCTGATCCGTCAATCCGGATCCCCATGGCCTCTAGCCTGGCAGCTGTCCCCTGCATTGTCACCTAGGAAAAGGAGCTTAGATCTCCTTTCCGAGATACACGTGAGCATTCCCAGCACTGAGCTTTGAGCGCCTCCTGCCCATATTGATCATTGGTGTTGCTGACGTATAGTGTAATCACTGCCAAAGAATCACCAGTCTCAGGAGAGGGAAATGGCCGCGTGGGGAACTGGGGACCCACTCAAAACGTGCCGGTTCCCCTCTCTCAGCTTTGCCCCACTGGGTGCTTTTACCTGGGCGAGGGCAGGTGCAGGAGGCGCCCGCTCCTCCTGGCCGGCTGGAGTCGTGGGAATGGTACAGGCACACGTGTCCCAGACCTCGAGGTACCAGGACTTCCAGACCCTGTGGCAGGCAGCTCCGGTCCCTGAGTAAGACTCTCCATTCAGATAGTCGACCGTCCGCAGCGCCTGTGGGTGACAGGTCCCTCCCCTTCCCTCCCATCACTAACCACGTCAGCCATGATAATCACCAATCATCGTTTTTAAAAGTGCTTTTTTCTAAACTCGAGTTTTTTCAGCAGTTCCACTATGAGGTATAAGAATATTGAGTCCATTTAGTAAAAGTCTGGGACTTGTATCTCTCAACGACATACGTTTCTCTGAACATTCATCTTCTTTTAGAATTATTCCTCAAGGATTTAAAAAAAAACTATTCTGGACATGAAATTCTTTTTTATAATATACGTATTTTTCTGATTGATGAGAAAAAAAGGATAAAATCGACTTCAGTATAATTGTCATATATATTTCCATAAAGTAAATGGATTTTGAGGAATTTTTATTTTTGGAATTTTTATTTTTATTTAAAGCATTTGTGATGACATGTTTAACTTTTGCCTGTTTGTAGCCTTTGGAGTAAAAATAAAATAAAATAGGAATGTTAGGCTCATGTTAATGATTTCCAGTTTTTACTGTGTATGATCTTGGAACCTGACGAGTACACAGAGTAGATTTTCTTTTCTTTTTTTTTTTTTTTTTGGTCCCAGTGAACTTCTGCAACTATTTCTGACCCTCAGGAAAATACTAACCATGAGAAGGATTTAATTTGCCAAATGTTAAGAACCTATCATCTAAATTACTTTAAGAGTGGATTTTTGTCAGATTTTGCTTTGGAAATTGTTTTAATTGAATATTTAGTCATAATAGACTTTGTATGAACTAAGCTGATTTAATCAGTTTAAAAACCTCTCATTACCTTCTTAGATTAAAGAAGCTAATACTCCTCTGAGATAGAAGGAAATCTTTCCCAGGGCATGTGACTTCTTCCGTGTTAGGCAGTTCACCCTTCTTGGCCGGCGCTGGGGCGGATCTTGGGTCCATCAGCCAGGTCCTGGTTAGGGAAGGCCTTGCAGTCTGGGAAGAGAGCCACAGGGAGTTCAAGGGGCTCACTTTCCCTTCTTGCAAATTGTTAGGGTCTGCAACACAGAGCCAGGAAATTGGATTGAAGCTGATATGTTTTCTGCCCCCACCCCCACAACTGTGACTGCCACACCATAGGGCTTGTTTCCCTTAGGAGAGCTGGACCCCGTAGGTGAGGGCCAGCAGCCCCCGCAGAGACTGGCTTGTAGGCATTTGGGTTCTTTTGTGTAAGCACTTTCTGAAGTGCTAGATTGCTCAATGTTTAGGTTTTCTCTTCCACCCCAGCTTTCCCTCGTGTTTGAAATGATGATAGTTTACAGCAAACTTCTACATGGAATATAATGTCGTATAAATTCGTGGTACCCTTGATGGAGGGAAAGAACAGGAAAACGAAGTCAGGATCCTAGTAACTGTTAGGTGACGCCCACTCTCTGCCCTGGCCTCTCCTGGGCTAGCTCTGTTGACCCACACACAGTCACAGGACTGCCCCGTGGGAGGACCCTTAGATGGAGTGGGGAGTGGCAGATACAGTATTCAGCCTACCAACGGTGCCTCCCCCGGGCACGGGGCCAGCAGACCAGAGCTGAGTGCTCCAGTCTGAGCCCGCTGCCTCTGACTGGCCTCCTTGTGGAGGCCTAGCGTCCCCTGCAGGTCTCCCTGGTCAGCACTAAATGTCTGCACAGATGTGGCCGCCTATTGTAAATAGCTCCTCATCCTCTCTGGCCCACCCTGAGGGCTGGAGTCTGGAATTGACTGCTGTGACTTGGCCTTGGCCATGAGGCTCACTCTGCAGGCTCCCGACTTTGACCTAGAGCTGACAACATCTGCATTGGTCACTGGGTGGCGCTGCCTCCCAGCCAACAGGCCCCTGCCCGCCCCAGACTCTGCCCAGCCATGTTTGTGGGACTGTTTGAAGATCCTACTGCGTGTTGCTTTGAGACTTTTATACAAAGTAGATTAGAAGGTGTGAAAATCACTCTTAGTGGTCGACATTTAGTTCTTGCACACCTGATAAAAATGGGTTAAAGAGAGAACTCTCTAGACACGCTTAAAAAAAAAATATCGACTCCTCAGTTCTCATCGGCCCTAGGGGCAGTCATGGAGAGTAAATAAACATACAAATAAGAGCTACAGTAAGTGTTTTATCAAATAGTATGCCTGAAGACAAAAAGATAGGATTTATTTTTCCTTTTTAATTTGCTGAACATAGCATGTAACCCCCCTCCCCCCGCCCCCCCCCCCCCCCCCCCACACACACAGACACAGACACAGACACACACCTTTCCTGTATTTTGGGTTTCTGGAAGATTTCACTCATTCCAAAGAAAGTGGGCTGCCTGTGCACTGTGGGAGTTTCTTAATACACGGAGACCAATTAGAACGATTCTGGATTTGGTGGCTCAGGACTATAAAAAGCCTGGATAACTGTCTCTATTGACACCGAGGAGACCAAGGGCAAAGAGGAAACAGGCGAGGTACAGAGAAGAGCCCCCCAAGCCGAGTTCCCGTGCAGCAGTTAGACAGGTTTCCCTCTATTCTCTCAAAAAGCAAAAGGTCCCCCCGGAGATTCCCTACCTGCCCAACTATACTGTTCCGGGCTCGTTTTCTGTTATCTTTTACATAATGCATCAAAATTCAAGACCTTATTTGTTAACACATTGAAGCCACAAGTCCCTGATTTCATGGTACTGACCTGGCCAGATATTTAGGAGAAAACTCAGGGGTTCTTAGAATTTGAGAACAGAAGGGACCTTTGAGATCATCTTCCAGGACTTCTTGCTTCTGAGCACACAAAAGAATCCCAGGTGCTCACTCACCTGGGGTTGTGTCCAGTTCCCCTGGAGGTCGGGGAGGGCTGGACATCTGCATTTTTACCTGGGCCCCCAGTGACCCTAATGCTGATGGTCCTCACTTGAGAATACCTGGTCTTACCCAACCTCTGCATATGACAGGTGAGAAACGCACCCCCCGCCCCCTGCCGCGCCCGCTCCAATACCCGAGAGTCCTGATTCAAATCTGAAACATCAACAATCTTGCAAAAGCTATCGAAAACCATTATGACCAAGATTGAGTAGATGATGCTCGTAAATAAGAACTTTATGGCCAAGACCACAGCTATCCTAAGCAGCCCATCTCTGGAAGTCCTTAATATAAAACCTCACATGCAGAGTGCTGGCTTTTCTCTTTTATAAATACCATTTCAGCCTGTTAAGAGAAAAGAAATTAACGTTCAGAAAAAGTAGCTACTCCATATGCGCAGTAACTACTTTTCTATAATGTCTTATAGCATCTGGGGTTCAGCATCATTGAACAAGATTAAATGAATGTTATAGAGCTATAAAATTGCATGTAAAATAACGCAAAACTGTGCAGATGACTATCAAAGTAGCCTGGGAATGAATTTCCACTAAAATTAATTGTCACTTTCTAAATGTAGCTTAGCAAAGCTGTTACTAAACTGAAGGGATTCTTTAATACATGGAAGTCTCAGAAAAATCCAGTGAGTGTCCCCAAACCCTGCACAGGAGAAGCAAGTCATTGTGAAGTCAATATTTTTTGTTCTCCATTGCTCCTAAAATTTAGAGTGCCATCTTATATGTGTGTGTTGAATGTGCCTTAGAATATCCAATAAGAGAGCCTTTGGATATTCTATTGTGTCCCTTGGAAATCGCAAGGTAGAAGGAATCTGTGTTAAGTGTTTCGTTTGAGTTTTTTTGCCTGAGAAAGTTACAAACTCACAGAATTAGAAGATTTCTAATTTCAACGTGTGATATTGAAGTCAGGATTTTTTTTTAACATTTATTTTGGAACAAGTGATTATTTGGG